ACACCTGTGCAATATTGATGCTATCTAATCAGCACCTTGATATGCCACACCTGTGAGGTGGGATGGATTATCTTGGCAAAGGAGAAGTGCTCACTAACACAGATTTAGACAGATTTGTGAACAATATTTGAGAGAAATGTGTCTTTTGTGTATGTAGAAAAATTTTCCGATGTTTGAGTTCAGCTCATGAAAAATTGGAGCAAAAACAAGAGTGTAGCGTTTATATTTTTGTTCAGTGTTTGTATTTATTCATTTATTTTTAATTTTATGTTATTGTTTTTTAACCAGAGAGCTGCAGATTTGTGCAAACAGGTGCCCGAATACAGACAGTCAAAAACAGAGAGGACCCGGGCGGATCTGGCACAAATTAGGCTCTCGTTATGGATAACAAAAAAGAATAAAATAATAATGAAGAAATATCAGGCAACAGTTTGTGAAGCTCCAGGATTGCACGTCTCAGGGTGCATCAGCAATGGAGATGAGTCCGGGTATTACAGGCTGCTGGAGGAATGACCTACAGCTCAGAGTCAGCAAGACGAAGGAACTGGTGGGGGACCTCCAGTGCCCGTGAGACCAGCCACGATGCACGGGGAGGATGCAGTGTACAGCAGTGCAGTGTGATAAGCACCTAAAGGATGGGGCTATTCTAGCATTTCAAGTTAAGTCACTTTAGTGTCACTTCACACACGTGTGTTTCTACAGAGCAGCATACAGCCAAAACAACAGCACAGACAATGCACAACAAAGTGCAACAACAGCCACAATACAGTGCATGTAAACAGACTATGCAAATAGTAGAAACAGTGCAGTGCAAATGAGCATCTAGCAGCATTTATGGGGTAGGTGGGAGCTGAGAAGCCTGCTGGCCTGGGGGCACTGCTGTAGTGTTTGATGTATATGTGCGTGAGGGTGGGTAGAGAGGTACCTATTATCTTCTCTGCTGTCCTGCTGGAGGGACTTGCGGTTCCCGTACCAGACAGTGATGTAGCTGATTAGGATGGTCTCTAAGGCCCCTCGGTAGAAAGCTGCGAGAACTGGAGGGGAGAGGCAGTGGAGAAAGTGCAGGCGCTGTGGTGCCTTCCTGCTCTGGAAGGTGATGCTGTTGATCCAGGAGAGGTCATCTGATACGTGGACTCTGAGGAAGTTGGTGCCATTGACTGGCCTTTTCCACATTCAGGGCCAGGATATCGTCCGCACACCACCCTGCCGGCCGCTCTGTCTCTTGCCCGTTTGCGGTTTCATCACTGTTGCTGATCAGACCCACCACTGTAGTGTTGTCTGCAAATGAGCAACAGAGCAGTCGCGTGTCATCACGGTGAATAGCAATAAGCTGAGGACCCCTCAGTGCTGAGCATCAGTGATTCTGATAGACTGTAGAGGGAAACCAGAAGTTAGAACATGCAAACTCCACACACAGCAGAGACTCGAACCCTAGTCTCAGAGGTAGGAGGTAACAATGCTAACCACTGTACCACCGTGCCATCTGCTTTAACATCTATTAAAAACAACCATTATATGATAATAACAAACATTATTAGTCATATATTATAATTGAATATTTAGGCTCTTCACACTTTGACATAAGGAAACCTGGCACCGTAAAACACAGTGACATGGTGGTACGACTACATTTGACCGTTCAGTCTGACACACACAAAAAAAGTCATCTATTGGACTTGGGGAGTTCAGTGAAATCCATTTTTTCCCTTCCACAACTGACCCAAAAGTACCGTAAAGCAGATCCAGGCTGCGGTCCAGCCACTGTAAACCAGCAGTTTTCTTTCAGATTAATAGCATCACTGGTTGGTACAACAGCTGCAGCCCAGAGGACCCCAGAGCCCTGCAGAGGGCGATATGGAGCAATCACCGGGACAGAACTGCCTACCCTGCAGAACATCTACATCCAATGTTGTAGGTCCAGGGTATTACGGTTCTCCGTTGCTTTGGAGCATTTCTGAAATGACAATTACAGCTTTTGATTGTGTTGGCATTTTTCATGAAACATATCATTCTCAAGACTAAGAACATGTCTCAAAACAGTTCATGCATATAGCACAAGACTATGGCTTAACACAAAAGGCCATATCACACCCAAAGTAAATAACTCACTTATCAAAAGCAAATAATTCCACCAATGAATTAGTCAGTGCCACTAAGACGAAAAGTACACTTAGCATCGTTTAACCCATGAGAGTTAAAATGCTTAGATATACTGTCAAAATGTCAGTGCAAATATGAAGAGAAATGCATTAAAGCAATCTAAAAAAAATCTGTAACACCATTACTACAGTGAAGCAGGATGGTGACAGAATCATGCAATGGAGATGTTATGCCGAAAAAGGCATCCCTGCCGTAGAATGCATGCCTGTCTCTAAATGACCGAATGAAACGAGTTGAGCTACTTTGTCAAGTTAGGCTACCGTAGTGCTGAATGATAGCCCTTACCCTAACCCTAATCCCCAAAAAACCCCTAAAACCCTAACCCCCAAAAAACCCCTAAAAGCTCAACTCGTCAGAACACCGGCATGCATTCTATGGCAGGGATGCCTTTTATCTGTCCCAAAAAATTACACCTAAATATGTTTTTTTAGCATTTAAAATGAACAGGATAAAACAAGAGCATATACTGTACTAAACACACCTAAGCACATTTATCAAAACAGTAATTTGTAAAGAAAGAAAATAAATGTATCCAATGTGTAAAGTTAAAAAAAAATGTGTCCTGCCTCGATCATCCAATCCTTCCGCGTGCCACACCCCTGTTAACCCCGTGTGGAATCCCTGTGTGATCAGCTGTTTCTGGTTGTCAAGAGCCCTCTGTATTTTGTCTGCGTTTCAGTTTGTTTCCCCAGTCCAGTCATTGTATTGTCCGTCTGCATTTTGCGTATTATTAATATTTAAATAATTAATAAGAAAACATTCTTTTAAAATGTATTTTATTATATAATAATAATTACTGTTACTGTCTATCATTGTCTAAATGTATTTTTACTGTCTAAATATATGTATTCAGCTTGTGTAAACATGTACGATGCTATCACAGCGAATGCGAGGCTGAGACTGAAGCATTACCCTTTGTTTCCGCTGAGAGACGTGCCACGTGACTCATTTCCCCGCATGTACAAGTTATCTTAGGTCGGTGTTCACGGTTTGACTTCTGAGATTCAGATGGAGTACTAGGTAATTTTTTTCCGAACAGCTTGGTTCGACTTTTAAGAAATTCGAGTTCTAATGAGTTTGAGAGCTGAGGTACCACTGTACTGGGAGCATCAGTCTACAAGACTGAAGGTTAAGCTTTCAGCTGGGGAATGACCCAAACCACAAGGTTCTCAAATGACATTTGCAATCAAGCAAAATTGTAAAAGCAAAAAGTTGAACGTGCTGCAGTGACCATGGCAAAGTGCAGGTCTATCGTCTATAGAGAAGCTGTGGCTTTCTTTGAAAACTGCAGTTGGCAAGCGGCATCTACACAACCTGAAAGACCTAGAGGAAGTCAGCCATGAAGAATAACCAGAAATCACTCCTGAATGATGTAGAAAGCTGGTAGCTACTTACCCAGAATACTTAGCGCTGTTGTTGCAGGGAAGGGTGCCGATACCACATACTAATGCTCTGGGTGGAATGCTTAAGCAAGCAGTTTTTTAATCTCTTTGAAGGATTTGCTGACAAATAATCGATTTTGATTTTTAAAATTCATTGTGAGACCATGAGTCTGCAATAAAATTACTGACCAGAAGAATATGTGTATCTCTCATATGTAATTCAGGCAGAGCACCACGCCCTGCCCGCCGTGTTCACCTGACCCCCCTGTCTCCTCTCTAGCACGGCCCCAACAAGCCAGGCCTGTCACTCGTTTGCTTTGCTTCTCATTCCAAAACCCTTGTGTTAATCAGTCCCAGCTGCCTCTCACTAGCTCCCTCATTAGTCTTGTATATATGTGCTTCCCAGAGTTGTGTACCCCAGTACGGTCATTGACTTCAAACCTTCCTGTTACTTGTGCTGTTCCTTCTTCTAGTCCTCCTGTTATTGATACCCTGTGATCTAGTTTATTTAATGTCCTTATTGAGTTAGTTCAATAAAACCCCTTTTCTGTTCCACCGACATGCCTGCCTTCGAGTCCTTTGTCCTTCAAGTCGTGACACAAATCTGATCATTAACAGTGAAGTGGGGCTCAGTACTTTTTCCATGCACTGTAGGTGCCCTTTCAGTGCAAAAACCGTGAACACTTTAACCCCATTACACCAGGGGCTGTTGGAAATAGGGGGGTGGGGGGACCCCCCCAACTTTTTTCAAAAATAAATAATTACAAAATAGCATGTTCCTTATCTTTCATTGTGAACCTGCATGTTACTGGGGCTAATTTGCAGCGCATGCAGTGAGGATGAAATGTATAGCTAACAAATTCCCTGTCTACATGTCGACGCTGAAAATGGAGTTTCTTAATATCTTCACCCTGGATGGAGTTTTGCAAAAGCTCCATTTTCAGTGACCTGAGATGCCGTTTATGTGTGGACAAAAGCCCAAGATGTGTAGAAAAAGGTATGTTTTAAAATATACCCATGTACGTGTGGACAAGGCAAAAGACTGTACTCTTCTATCAGACAAGCTCATTTTGTCAGTTATTTTTTTTTAGTTATGTTTAGAAGTTAAACTGTCCCCTAAATAATGTTAGTCTTATCACAGTGCCCACTGTGATGTCATGTTATACACCCCCCCCCCAATTCGGTTCCCCTAATGTCAAACTCCTTCCGTCGCCACTAGCGACACCATCTAAATCCACATGATGTGGGCTAAATGGAAAGTAACGACATACACATTTATGGGATTACAGTTTTTCTCAGTCACATTGGTACATTTCTCAGATCAGAATTGAAATTCTCATAACTACTTGTCCAACCTCTGCATCATGGAGTCACTTCTGCATATCGTAAAAAGCAATGCCTCATTCTTTTTGGACAAATTGCAAATGTTTTGGCACAATCATGCAAATGCTTATGGACAATCGTCTGCTGATTCCTACGTTATCTATTGCTTATGTCATGTTGATCAAAATGTATTACACTGGTTCTCTGTTGAAATAGTCCTACCTCCCAAAAAGCATTAGTTCATTGTATTAGTCATTAAATGAAAATTGGTTGAACCACTTGTCAAAATCTATCAAGCATATTCTCTGTACATTATAACTCTTCTGAGAAACGCGCTGACAGTTGTGAGAATGTTAAGTATGTTTCATGAAATGTGCCAAAGCAATCAAGAGAAACTGTAACCTTTGAACATAAAAAATACCCATCCCACCTCTAAGTGGTTATCAAGGGCGGTGGTGCTTGGAGAATATCCCAGGCAGCCCCAGGGGAACAAGCCAGACAGGGTGGCAGCCCTTCGAAATCTAGCAGTCAGGGTCGATTCCAGGATTTGACTGGTAGGGTAGCCACTTTCAATCTGAACAGCACGCTATCCAGTTCAGGCAATGCCAAAAACCCGTCTATCTATATAAATGGAACTACGTTTTACTAACGTTAAAGAAACTTAAGTAGATAAACATTACCCTAACTTGTCAAATGACACAAAGAAAACATAAAAATTATACAATGGAATACCAAACTGACATATTACAGGATTGGCCATCAGTTTAACTTCAAAATAGATCGGAACAAAAAAGTCCTGTTTAGCGCATGAAACACTGAACAAAATAACTTATAATCCAGTAAAAACTAGCGATTCATTTTAAAGTACGAAGCGCCTCTGAAAAGGTAAAACCTCACGTCCGTAAAAGTACTTTCGTTTTAATGTGTGCTGTAGCCATGTTTTGTAATCGCAAAATCTAACTTAAATTAAATATGTACGAGGGATTAACGAGGAAAATTGAGAAGCATGACAAAAAATGAAAATGTAAACTAAGTTTCACCAATTTCACAACTTTCTTGGTGTTTTAAATTGGCAAGGAGCAAGTTTGCAAAAAATGTCAAAACAAGGTAGAATTGGGCTTCTAAGATGTCACTCCAGCTTTATGAATGTTTAACTTGCACAAAAGACAACTAACTGCGTTGTTAACAGCAATGTCACCAGTGTCACAAGAAGGAAACATTACAAAATTATTAGATATAACCATTTCCTCAAAAAAAGTACCAAAAGAAGCAAGGAAATATCAAGGAAATACGCATCCAATAAAGAGCGTAATGGAGAAAAATCTTTTGCAAACTCTTCTTCGTCTTCTTCTTCGTTGGAGTTTAAAGGCGGCTTGCATCCGTTTCTGCAAACCCAGACCGATTGCTGCCATGTTATAACAAACAAACGAGTATTTACGCCACATGCGTCTCCTCCTCACGTCCCTCCTTCAACTTGAACTTCGCTCGTGTCATTGGTTACCTCGAGTTTCCGTTTTCGTGTCCACTCATCCAATTGGTTGATAAGAAATTTCAAAATTCAAATGCCCCGCCTCTCAACAACAACATGATTGGTTGCCTGGTGGCGATTCTGGACCAATGGGAGCCCGCAGGTTTTTTTCTCCCTAATTTTTCAAAACTGTTACGGTCGGTCGTAGTCCGTTGTAAATTATCAGAAAATTAAAGGCCGTGGTTGCTTTAAAAGATGAATAAAGCGCCAGAAAAGGCATGCAAGCGAGGTAAGTTATTATATTATTTTTTAGTGAGTGATAAATCTGTTCTGCATGTGCTAGGTGTGTAAATGGTAAATATGAAATCGGCCCTAACGTTGAAACCTGCTGTTTTGTTTCAGACAATAACAAGAAAATGTCTTTGCAAAAGGCAAGGAATGCTTGTATACCTAAGCAGTCCGGTACTGCAGCCCATGTGGAGAATAAGGTAAACCGCTTCACTTTTATTGCAGTCATGGTCCGAAGGACTTTTAAAAAATAACGAAAGCAGCTTTGGTAAACTAAACATAGTTACTCCTGCAGGACAGCTAGTAAAGTACAGTTGGGTAGTCGGTAAGCCGTGATGATCGCGTGGTTGCCATGGGTACCGTGGCTTTAACAGTAGTAGAAACATGAAACGTGATGTTTTTGTATATGCGTTTCGTATTTCCAGTAAGAACATTGACAGCTTTTTGTTCAAAGAAAGCTGTTGTACCATTAGACAGTACAAGTGTTTAAATAGTGATCATGTGCCCTGGACTGTTAATCAAAGCTGCACAAGAATGACACTCCGTTTGCATCTGTCCTTTTTAGGAAGAAAATCCTTCAGTTAAAAGGGCTTCTGCCTCACCCCAAGGAGCCCCAAAGAAAAGATCTGCATTTGTGGATATAACCAATGTTAGTATCTCCAGTGCACCGTGAGCTTTCGTAAACCTCCACCAGTATTGTTTCTGACTAACTGCCTTACTGCCTGCTATGTTGGTGAAGTTGTTAAAATTAAATTTTCAGATTCAGTGTCATACTGTAAGTTTGTCACAGCTCTCAGAAATTATTGGTTATCCAAGTCTTTCCAGTAGGTGGTTCTGCAGAATATGCATATTGTAAATCTGTTTAATGGTGGAGAATAGTTTCATTTAGTCAGACATTTGGATGTAGTTCATGCTTACAGCCATCAACTGTAGCCTGTGTCTTAATCAGGCCAGCAACTGCGCGCCCAACAACAACCAGAAGATGACCGTTAAGATGAAGCAGAAGAGCAGCGCGGTCAAAAAAGAGGCCGCAGTGAAGAAGTAAAAAAAAAATATAATTTAACTTTAATCTAGTGATGGTTTAACAAAGATCCTATATATAAAATGCAACTGCTTTCAGCTCCTGGACATTACATGCCGTTCAGACAAGTCATTCCCTTAAAGGTACGATCCTGCGAAATTGGTGGTGCAGCCTGAGAATGTTAAAGTAGCAGAGCAAGTTGCATTAGAGGAGCCTGCGGAAACTCCAAAGGGGGAGGCTTCCCAAAGCCAGCTGTCTGTAGAAAGGGTGATACAGGTAAGAGAGTTGCCACGGCGATGGTCATATTGTGGCACTGTAGTGTCTCGGTCAGTTGTTTTGTTCGACATGCTGTGTGTCTCCTTACCATTTTTTATCCTGCTGCCATAACTGCACAATTACATCCTAGTTTTTCCTCCAGGTGCCTGAGGACTTTGACATCGACACAAAAAATCTGAGTGACTGCGGTATGGCACCGGAGTATGCCATGGATATCTTTGGCTACCTAAAAACAAGAGAAGTGAGTATTTTTTTAGGACCTGTTGATTGCAAGATTTGTTTTTCTACACCTAATTGGTTCTGGCCTTCATCTGCTCAGAATGGCTGTTGCGTTCTTGCCACGATTCAGTGATCACCTGCATAGTATTTTGTCTGCTTATGAATGGTGTAATGGTATTTTAGGATATTCCCTTATTCTTTTATGCTTCTGCAGGAGAAGTTCATCTTGGAGAATTATATGCACAAGCAGAGTGACCTGAACGAGGACATGAGAAGCATCCTGGTGGACTGGATGGTGGAGGTGCAGGTGAGCTTGGAGTTGCAGGCCGAGGTGGGATTCACCATGCTGCTTTCGGTCTGCCGGTCCTAAAGATCAGCCGCTCTGCCCGCAGGAGAACTTTGAGCTGTACCACGAGACGCTCTACCTGGCTGTGAAGCTCACAGACCACTACCTGTCGACCTCCGTGATCACGAGGGAAGTTCTGCAGCTCATTGGCTCCACGTCCATGCTGATCGCCTGCAAGTCTGAGGTTGAGTTCAATGGAGGGGGGAGGGTTGAATCATCCAGGCAGACTGTAAATAGTGCTTTTATCTTGTTATTCTTGTGGTTGTATGGCCTTGGCAAAGTTAAACAGTTCCCTCAGCTTTTGTTGTGTATATCTGTATGTGTACTGTACTGTGTAAACGTCTCAGGCAGTCAAAGAAAATGTTTAAATGATTGTGTTGCTGTGAAACTGTTATCTTAAGTGTCAGCTTACCCATTTAAAAACCTCACTAAAATCACCCCAGTACTTGCAGCAACCGTCCAGGGTATTTTTGACTTAATGACCAGCACACATTCTTTGGCTACTCGGTACCTTGAGTACAGAAGAAATTCCTTTTTTTTTTCTTTTGCTCATGTTGCTGTTAATTTGCATATGTTCCAGTGTTGAACCCCCTCCCCCAGCAAATTACACTTGCTAATGTTAAACACTTCCTTTGACTGCCTGAGATGCATGCATGTGTGTCTGTGCGTGCAAGGGTATGTGTGCGTGTGTGCGTGCGTGCGTGCGTGTGTGCGCGCGCGTGTGCGTGTTTTCTATTCTATTTCCTTCTCTTTCGGACTTCCTCCCCCAGCCATAGCATGCAAGGATGGACCCCATCTTTGCTGTAGCAAAAGTTTGATGCAATTTGGTTTTTAATTGCACATGTACCATCTGCTCATTTAAATCTTCTGTATTTATTTCATATGTCATTTTTAATTTCTTTTGTGTACTGCATACTGCACAATAACGACACTGCCTTTCCATATATCTATTTTTAGGCCATTTGCATGCATGACATTTACTTGTTTGCATTGTATATTGTCATTGCACTTTGTTTTTCAGTAAATGTTTGTCTGTGCGCTGTGTACATTGCTGCTTTGTAGACGGTAATAATAATTTAACCGTTCTGTAGGAGCGCTGTCCGCCCTGTGTCGATGATCTCCTGTACATCTGTGACGATGCGTACAAGCGGGACGAGCTGATCGCCATGGAGAGGAATATCCTGATGGCCCTGAACTTTGACATCAACATCCCAGTTGCCTACAGCTTCCTGCGTCGATACGCCAGGGTGAGGGAGGAATGGGTCTAGGCTTCAGAGTATATCAACATTTTGGGTTAATTAAGGATTAACATAATTTGTGGATTAATATAACTTGAAATTTTTCAACAGTTCGGTCCTGCTCTCTTTTTTTCTATTTGTTTAACGGTCAGTTTAACATTTACCTCTGACATTTCGCCATATTTTCATGGTGCTTCCCCCACGTTTTACTTTTTTTACATGTATTACAAATTTCAAGCTTTGTGACGTCTTCACTCGCAGTGAAGAACTTCCACACTAACGACATGTTAGCATGTGACTGAGTGCGCATGCAGCTGTGAGGCTATTGCCTGCGCTGCTGTGTGCTTGACATGTGCTGCATGCATAAAACGGACTGGTTCGGTATCGGCAATACACAAGACTGATCGGGGGGGTCTCCTTTCCAGGCCAAGCACGCCGAAAATCGGCCGATTCCGGTCCCTTGGTGGTTGATCGGTGCGTCTGTAGCTTGGATAGCTAATAACTGGGGTTCTCTTTATTTTCTTCAGATCTGGGGCTTAAGGGAACTTTTCAACAGCTAGACTCGTTTTAATAAAATGTGGTGGTGATTTGGGTCTGTCATTCTCGGGTGGGCCACAGGATATTCAGGCTGGCCAGTTTTTGTTGCCTAGGGAACCATAGTATACCCTGGTACTTGAGACCGCAACCTGTTGAGCGTGCCCGATGAGGAAGAAGTGACCTATGTGCATACTAGCGCCACCTTGTTGAGTTGCACCCTGCACTCGGCTCACCCCTGGTGCTGTTGCATCACAGTGTGTCTTTTCCAGTGTGTGCAGGCCGACATGGTGACCCTGACACTGGCGCGCTATGTGTGCGAGCGGAGCTTGCTGGAGATGGAGTTCATCTCTGAGAGAGCGTCTCTCCTGGCGTCTGGCTGCCTGCTGATCGCCCTCATCCTGCAGGGTCTCGGCGGATGGGTGAGATCCCCCCCCCTGCCACGTGCTTCGTTAACACTTGCAGCTCACACTAAATCCTTGGTGCTGGTCCTAGAGTGTTGTATTAAGAGTGTGGCTTGTTCACTACAGTACCAGTCAATAGTTTGGACACGCCAAAAGGAGAGTGGTGGTGTCACATCACATGACCTGGCCACCTGACATAAAGTAGAAATGATTCTGGAGGAGGTTGGCCAGAGAGTGAAGGAAAAGCGGCCAATGAGAGCTCAGCGTTTGTAGGACCTCCTTCAGGACAGCTGGAAAAGCATCCTAGGAGGCTGCCTCGTGAAATTCAATTCAATTCAATTTTATTTATATAGCGCATTATCACAACATTACATTGTCTCAATGCGCTTTACATTTCTGCCTCGTAAGGACCCCCCATTGAGTAAGCCAAAGGCAATGGTGGCAAGGAAAAACTCCCTAAGAGGAAGAAACCTTGGGAGGAACCAGACCCAAAGGGGGAGCCCATCCTCCAGGGGCCGGCAGATGAGGGCTTAGAGGAGACTGTAGGGTCAGCCAGTCCCTGGAGGAATTGGGGTTAAGGGCCTCGCTCAAGGGCCCAATGGTGGGATCACTCTGCCAACCCAGGGATTTGAACCGACGACCCACAGGGATGCCCCTCCAAAAAAATTTTTTTCATCAGTGCATTATTCCATATGTTTTATAGTTTTGATATTTTTGTTACAAAAATGTAGTGAATAATACAAATAAACCTTTCTATGGGTAGGTGTGTCCCAATTTTTGACTGGTACTGTTGATGCATGAAATTTGATTGCAAGATGTTTTTTGGAGATGTATCCTGCATGGTACGTTAGATGAATGCTAATTGGTAGTTCTTTCATAATTCCTCATACTTGCCAAGTTTGACGTAGAATTGGCTTGTGATATAGGATGAAATGTTTTTCTTCTGTATGTTCACATCACACTGTGGACACTTAAGAAGTGTGCCGGACTGATTTCCTCACTATTGTAGGAAATGAACTTGCTTTGAGTGAGACTGATTGTGATCTGGTCCAGCTAACTAACCTTTATGAATGCGCTGGATAATCACTCTGTGAGAAAGCAGAGCAGCACTAAGGCTGGGGGGGGGGTCCTCCTGATTCCCTTCAGGTTCTCCATTAGCCATCGCTCTCCTCTCTCTTTGCATTTGCGTCTATTTATATGTGAGACACCTATTTTCAAACAAGGCTGGTAGCGCATCACAAGCATACAGCTGTTTAGGACTCCACTACCCATAAGCGCAGCTAGGCTGAGCGTCCAATGAGGGACTTGTAAAAAGTGCAGGTCAGCACTGATGCAGTGGTCCTGTTTTTCCATGTAAATTTAGGATAGCTAACTGCTATAGATATTTGAGTGTACTTGTGACTTTTTGTTAATGATTAGTTGCTTAAAAACCGTAGTTTGCACGCTGTTAACTACAGAAAGATGGCACCCAATTAGCAGAAATGGCTTGATCATGTGACCTGAGTGTGTTCTTTCCCAGAATGCCTGCTTGGAGTACCACACAGGGTACTCTGTCTCCGCCCTCGCCCCCCTGGTGCAGAGACTTTACGCTATGTTGGCTCGGCCCTCCAGTGAAAAACTGAAGGCCGTGACCAATAAGTACTCCCACAGGTAAGGCGAGAGCTGGGAGCCTTCAAATTTCCTCTCCAGTACTGAATACTCCCTTGGCTACTTGAGTGTACCTGGTTCAGCAGAAGTCTCTTTCTCTGCAGTGTCTTCTTCGAGGTAGCCAAAACTCCTCTGGTCACTCTGGAGAAGCTCAGGGCAACTCTGAACTGAAGCACCCCCTACAGCATGGGAAAACTATGCAAAACTGTAAATATGTATGTATAGTCTTATAGCGTCTTCTGTAATAATGTCCTGTTTGATTGTAGGACCATGGTTTTCTATGGTTTTATATGTACTATGTATTCTAAGGTTTTATTGTATAAATAGATCAGCAATTGTACAAAGAAAATTTGGCAAATTTTTTTTATGCGAACAATTCTAATAGAATTGACTTTTATAGTGTTCTTAATTGATAATGTTCCAAACAACTTTGGAGTGTTTCTGAATAACATTCATTATGTAGGTTACTGGCTTTTCTCCGTATCATATTACCCACCATGGTATTTATAATTTATTCATAGAGTTCAGTGTTTTGTGAATAAGGATAAAATTTGTTTTTTGCCCCCAAATGCCCTGGTTCTTTGAAATAAATGTTTACCCTGCGTATAATGATGCAGTTCTTATTCTGGGCAGCAGAGGGCAGTTTTGGCAAACTTTAGGAATCCATCATCAATACCACTATTGTGATTAGAGGTAGAAATTTTTGTTTGTGGTTTTTTTTTTTTTTTAAACATACCCTGATGTAATAATTATGCAGCACGGTTACGAAGGCTTTAAGGAAAATACAGAAGTGGACAAATTGCAGACGGTCCCAAGTTCCCCCTTTTACATTGTCATTGCAGTTATCTAATAGCGAGTGACTGTGCCATTAAAGCTTTTGGCAGATATTGTCAACCGACACTCTTCCCATATTTCTAAAGACATCAGATTCTTGTTGGCTGTGTTTGAACATTCTTCCAGGGCTGTGGAGTCGGTAGATAAATGCTCCGACTTCTCAGTTTCTAAATCTTCCGACTCCGACTCCCTGACTCCGACTCCTCT